CGAGCTTTGCGGAAGTCTAGTAGTAGCTGCTACGGAACCCTAAGTTCCCGCGCTAACGGGGCGATTTTAGGATTTTTGGCTTAATGAAATGCATTGATACCCTTTGAAATTCGATCCTTGAGAGTTTCAATTTGATCGGCCATCATGTTAGAGTGTGAAACGCTAAGAAAGTTGATGTGAACTTGAAAAATTATCGTTGAGTGGTGCGCACCAATACACGAAGGCGTGTTGGGCGCTTGGCACGATTAATACAAGGTCTAGCTACTGGCCTTCTCAACATGGAGACTAATCTGTAGATCGAAACAGTCATAATCCATATTTAGAAAATTTGGAGAGATTACATGTGTACATCAATGAGCCGCTGTCATTGAAGAAGCGGCTTCCACTCGATCTGCTCACTAACCGAGTCACTGAGAAGATCGGTAGAGCCAACAGCAGTCACGCCACTCCCTGGACCATCCTGCCATGATGTGTGTTGACCCGGTGATACTGTTTCGATTTTCGCCTGAAAACTTAGTGAAAGCGGTTTTCGAGGAACAGCCGGTCGAATTTTCCCCGTTTGAACTGCTGGGGGTGAGAGAGACCTTCCGGGGGACTCAGAAGTGTCGCGTCGTGGAGGTAGCATGGGCTTCTTCCTAGTATCTTGGATAGGGTCGGTGTTTCTGTTCTCCATCGGGCCTAGACTTGGCACCCAGTCGACATCTGCAGAAAATGGATTGGATATGCGTTGGGGATTTGGAATATAACCTTGCTTTGGTTGTACTGTAGCTTTTACTGGTGCACCTGTCATGCGTTAGCAAACCCACTATACATTCACAGGCTGAAACACTCACTATTATCTAACCACCACCGGCTTGTGTCGGAGCTTGCCGGTGGCAGCCCCGGTGCGATAGAAATTTGCAGTGTGGTTTCGCCATCATCCAAGTCCAAAAGAGAGACAGAGTCAAGAGAAGTGTGACCATGACCCTGCTTCTCCTCGTATATTGATCGCCTCAGATTTTCCTTCAGTGCATGATCAACTATATCAATGACACAATCAAAGGTTGCCCAGACTGGGCGGTGGTCAGACACTTTCAAATCTGCAGTTTGGTAGTTTGTCTGCCGTAGGTTGCTTCCTCGCCATAATATTCTATCACACCATGCGGGGATCCTTGCTTTCTCACTGCCAGACATTAGTTGCTTCTTTTTGTTAGATCCAAAAAGTACTCACGACGTATCATAGGTGTCTCTTCCAACATCGTACTTGTAGGTCGGCGGGAACTCAATTAGGCCTTCTGAATAGAACCGGAACACCCTGCCCGCTACCATCTGTAAATTCAACTGTTGTTGTTAAACCAACGTCAGGTGCCCCCGAAAATGTTATTTGATTATTTGACTTACTTGATCGTTGTCATATAGCCTTTGGTAGTCTCGCTGCAATATGAGCTCTCTTACGCTTGGGTTGCCCAATCCAATTCGGTAGTTGAAATCACCCAACCAGATCACTGCATCATGATCAGCGATTGACCGGTTCTTTTGAAACCGTAACCCTCGGTCGATGATCTCGTAGTCTCTGTTTCTTTCATCGTAGTTTGCAAACCCGGCAGCAAGATGGGCCGTAACGAAGCAAACACTCGTGTTGGAGAAGTCAAACCGAATAGCACAGCCGCCCTTGTTGCCAGCAATCCCGGAGAGGCCGGTCTAGGAATACCAGTTAGTTAAAACAACACCTTCAAGAATCTGGAATGACTTGCCTTCTTCACACTGCCTTCAACATTCTTGATGTACCTCAGTGAATCTTCTTTTACATAAAGCAAAACGGCGGCGCCGACTAGCTGACCACTTCTCAGGTGCACGTATTTCCCAGTTCCTTTCGCCTTTGAATGGCTGTTTAGACAATCGTGGACTGCTCTTTCCCAGACCTTGCGGGTACTGGGGTCGGTGGACATAATCTGTTGAGGGCTCAGAGCGACAATTTCCTGGAATCCAACAACAAAGATTGATGGATCTTCGTCGGACTCATCTGACTCTGGGAAAAGCCACGGAGTGAGATCGGTGCCTGGGCCTTCATCACGTCCATTCACATTGAAAGTACCGACCCAGAACCGCACTCGTTTGCGCGAAGAATACTCTGGAGTTCGGCGGTTCAATTCCTCCATAACCAAATCATTGATTGGATCGTAGAGGTATACAGGGAGTTGATTTGTTAACCTTCCCAAGAGAAGATCAATTGTCCTTTGTCTAGCTTTGTCTGTAAAATTGTTGACATAAAGTCGAGTGGCACTCTTCCGCGCATCTGCAAGTGCCCCCGCAAGTGACATTTTTCCGTGCCGGGTGAAAGAGGACTTGAGCGCGCCAGTTCCGGCATAAATCTTCGAAAGAGCATCACCATTGTCAGCCCAGATGGTCGAATGCCGAACCTGCATGTCCGAGTTAAGATTGCCGCCTTGTTGTGATAAAAATGATTCTAGTGCCGTCAAACTAATTATGGTCTGGACGAGGTTTGTTCTGTCCAGACAATCCAAGCAATTGGTCCGAAAAACGCCCTCTTGCTGTAAAATGACCGAAGAGATGTTCACTGCATCATACTTGTCGAAAGGAGGTTTGTTAGGACGGCGTGAATCTTCCGACAAAAAATAGGAAAACTCATCTAGTGAGTCAATAAGCTCATGTTTGATCTGGGAGCTGGCTTCGTATCCCGAAGGACCTCGGGTCTCAGCAAGAAAATCATATTCGGTCATTCGCAAGAGGCTCCGACGTGGAGCAGTCCCATCACCTTCTTTCTGTCGGGTTGAGCTCTTGCTGACGTGCTGTCGATACTTGGACGACAACTCTGCTTCCCCGGGCTTCAGCTCACTTAGCAGATTTACCACATGTACTGCACCATACTCTAACTCCAGGGATTCGAAGTGTTTGTTAAATGCGTGCTGTGTTGCGTCGCTCGACCGCGTGACTTCGATCTTTTGCTGCCCCGGAATGAGGCCTGGAGCTTGTTCCCAGAAAATAGGCACCGAGCCTCGGATTTGAGCATAGGAGAATGCGATGCCCGGCGAAATCCACAAGATAGTTTCGGTTTCCACGAAGTTGGCAACATTCCCATCATCATCAATGCCTCTCGAGTTAAACCTCGTACCAGCGCGCCGAGAAGATTGTCGAGATATGATTGTCAGCATAGAAGGAAAGTTTGTCCGCACATGAGGAAGAATTGAGACCGTCGCTGGCACTTTGAGTGTACTGGCAAATCCACGGATAACACAGGTTAACATCTGCGATGCATCTAATTTGGCCTTATCGGACGGTGGCAAGTGGCTCCGGAACAAGAGAAGTGGATTGATCATGTACGAATTCCACAGCATGTCTTCATCAAGAGTGTCGATGTCGAATGCTACAGGTTTGTTGGCCCTTGAAGTTTTGTTAGTTGAAAGAGAGGTCGGCCAGCGAAGAGCCAAGGAGGTGATAGGTTACCGGTTTTGTAGGCGATCTGTGAGGTTGAAATCGAGGCTGTAATAGAAACTTCCATCTCCAAGGAGCTTCTTCAACGCCAGAAAAGGATGGTCAGTTATCACATCCTTCCCGTCCGTGCCAAGTCCCTCCTCGGCGGCAAATTGAGACCCGGTCTCATGATCTAGGCCGTACTCGTATTCTGAACGATTGAGACAGTCTGATATAGTTAGCAGTAAACTCGAGCGCAAAGATAGCATAGGGGACATACAGAAGCCTACCTTGTCAATTCTTGACACAGTTTCTCCGGGTCTCACGGTGGCAGCTTGCGAGGAGCTTGTGACGACGCAGACAAACACATCTTCATTGAGAGTGACAAGCCCAAGTGTACCATATCCATATCCTAACGGTCTGTAGCCCTTCAAGTCCACTGTTCCTAAATCCACGAACTCAACCTGACAGCGCGGGCTGTCCTTCACACTGGTATCTGTTGATGTGTAGTGAAACACTAGGGCATGTTCTGATGAAGCCAGTGCAAGCGTACGTTGAGGTTGGTCTCGACAAAGAACCCGAAGATTCGACATGATGCAAGAGGAATCAGAGAGTGGGGAGAAGCAGTAGCATTGCTTTCTTCCACATCAATAATTTTAGCCTACTTTAGCGATTTAGATCTCCCAAGATAGAACCACTTCACCCCAATAAAGAGAAGAAAGATCTTCAACTGTCAATCCCCGCAACAAAATCAAAACAATTAGATAAAAATTATTGTAGAGCTGAGGTGAAGTTGTCAAAAGCTCCCGAGATCTTTCTTCTCCCCGCGAGGTCCCTAGACATCGGGAGGCCTCTTATCGGTTGCTTACTCATCCCGCGCCTCTCGCATTTTTTTTTTTTTTTGGATTCTTCGATCTTTAAACACTTCTACGCTTAATCCGAAATTGTCGCCATGGGTTTAGCAGGGCCGCGGAAGTATGTGACAACCCAAATTATTTTCAAATATGATTTTCTAACGCTTGAGTAGAAGTACCAAGATTGGGAATGATCCTAATAATACCAAATGGACCCGGTCCACGACCGGGTTCGGACATCGAATCATGAGCTCCCAGGGTTGGATTCCTGGAAGTCTTCTGGGAGCGAAGGATGCCGCGCACGCCAACTTGTTGACTGCCGCCAGCGCTTCCCACATCAAAGTCACCCTGAAGGACGATAATCTCGGATTGGGTGCTCGTATTGGACGAGAGAATGAGCCTACTGGACTTGATGCCTTCAAAGGATTGCTTGGTCGACTCAATGGCAAGAGCGAAGTAGAATTGAAGAAGGATGAACAAAAGCGCGATGATGTTCGATTGGCTCGATATGCTGCCCTGAAATTCCCGGAAGTCAGGTTCGTCAGCGGTGGACTTTTGGCACAGGAAAAAGAAGCCGAGATCCCTCCGCCGACCCCCAAGGATACAAAAACCAAGAAATCAAAATTGGACAAGAAAGAACACACCAAGACCACCGAGGACGACGAAACCTCTTCAAGTGAATCGGATGCCCCAATCCGCAAATCAAAGTCCAAGTCCAAGTCCAAATCTAAATCCAAGAAATCGCGCTCTCGAGATGAAAACGATGGCAACGAATCAAGCTCGGAACCGAAGAAGAAAAAGAAGTCCAAGAAGAGAAAGGCTGATACGGAGGAGAGTGATTCTTCAGACAAGTCATCTGAACCGGAAGTCAAGGTAGCAGCAACGATATCCAGGGAGCGGCGGCCCATGGGACGGAATGTCACTCGGTCACGCCATATCGCCCAGAAGAAGAGAGCTATCATGGATGACAAGTCTCTCAACGAGGTAAGCTATGCAGCAAATATTTTCAATGATCTTTTTGCTAACATGAAGTAGATCTTCATGATCAAAGCATAGATTTTATGCACATCTGCATGTGAAGCGCATTGGGCATAGAACTTGGAGTTATTGGGTGTTTGCACTTTCTATGATTGCCTGTTTCGAGCTAGATATATCCTAAGAATCAAAAGAATTTCAAAATTGAACATGATGCAAGAGTGAACAAGTCCACGCGTATTTGAGGTTTTGTGTGTACTCCGTGATAGCTGGATCGCCGACTTCAGCCGTGGCTGGTGGAAGCCATGGATTACCTAATCGGGCCCGTTTCCGGGTGTATCCCACATCCAACGTCATGTCTTCAACTTAGCGTGTGCCCCTCATCGTTGATTACTCGGAATTGGGGATGTGATATCCTGTTTCACACCTTAGGCGAAGTTGTACAGATCATTTCCATTGAATCCTTGACCGAGAGCTTATTCCGGGACCGCAGCCCCAATAACCTCTGGCAATCTACATGAGCTCTAGCATCTCTCGCATTACCACGACCCGAGCCCAGACAGAGAGCTGTGCAGAAGTACTGTCAGTACGGAGGGAAACACCTCCTCCCATTCAACAATGAACGGAGAGACTCGGCCAGCTAGCCATGCCTCGGCGTCTACATCTCAGTCGAATCGCGGAAGAAGACGGTAAGACACGTCCAACAACTTTCCAATTTAGTTCAAAACTGATCTTATATAGCATTCACTGGGCGCCTCTAAATATTGGTCTTGAGAGACGCTTACAAACCTTCGTGGTGCTATGTCATACTTTAACCATCGCTATATTCCTGACTGGCTTCTTCTTCACATGCGCCATTCCGTTGTCCTGGCCACTCCTGGTCCCATATCTCGTTTATATATCTCTTTTCTCTACTGCTGCTACATCGGGTCATCTCAAGGGACGTAGCCCATTCTTGCGCTCACTTCCTATCTGGAAAGTGTATGCATCTTACTTCCCTGCTCGTCTTCACCGTGAGGAGTCGCTTCCGTCTACAAAGAAGTACATATTCGGATACCATCCACATGGTATTATCTCCCATGGCGCATTCGCCGCATTTGGGACGGAAGCATTGGGTTTCTCCAGGCTTTTTCCAGGAATCACCAACACCCTGTTGACGCTGGATGCGAACTTCCGCATTCCTTTCTATCGAGAATATGCACTTGCGATGGGACTTGCCAGTGTTTCCCGGGAATCATGTGAGAATATCCTCACCAAAGGAGGCGCAGATGGGGAGGGAATGGGACGAGCAATCACGATCGTCGTGGGAGGTGCCCGGGAATCTCTCAATGCCAGGCCTCATTCTTTACGTCTCGTGTTGAAGCGTCGCAAAGGGTTCGTTAAGCTTGCCATTCGAACGGGAGCTGATCTGGTGCCTGTCTTGGCCTTCGGTGAAAATGACCTCTATGATCAAATAGACTCGGATCAGCACCCATTTATCCACAAGCTTCAGATGCTTGTAAAACAGACTTTAGGATTCACTATCCCCCTGTTCCATGCACGCGGGGTTTTCAACTACGATGTCGGGCTGATGCCCTATCGAACCCCTCTCAATATTGTGGTCGGACGACCAATTCCGGTTATGCAGCAGCCGAACCGCGACAAGATCAACGATCAGTACATTGACGAACTCCATTCTCGATATGTGGAGGAGCTGATGCGGTTGTGGGATCAGTGGAAGGATGTCTATGCCAAGGACAGAGAAGGCGAGTTGGAGATCATTTCATGATAATACATCCACGTAGAGTGTACACAATTTCAACAGTCTATTATGACAACATATGGACCTTTTATGGGCGTATACTATCCACCGCATGGCAAACAAGCCAGAAAACCATATCTTACACTCGATCTCCAATGTAGCTTGGATTAAATACACGCGCAAGAAAGTAAACCTATGAATTGGGTATCAGATTAAATAAAATCAAAGAGCTTCCGCAAAAACATGAAAAAAAAGAAGCCAAAAAAAAAAAAGTAAGTGAGAGGTTCAACCTCGGAATGGCGAGCTGAGGTTCGGATCCCACAAGGGAGCAGTTGGGTTTGGACTCGGCACCTCCGCTGATGAGGACACTCGTTGGCTGTCACTAGCAACGCTTCTGTTCTTGGCATGGTGCCCACTTTCTGTTCGACCCTGGATCATTTCCTCCAGCATGCGTGAGACCTCGTCCATATTCTTTCCCGCCTCCCCCCTTCCACTTTCACCAGACAAGGGACGCTTGCTTGGACTCCCAGACCGCGCAATGAAGCCATTGGTTCCTACAAAACCGTCTGCATCCCCAGCAGTAGACCCACTCTTGCTCTTCAGCTCTGGTGACTGCGAGTCATTGGTCACAGCAGCCAAGTCTCGATGCCGAGCTGCGGATCGAAGCGCGGCAAGCATACGATCTTTATCATCGAGCTGCAACCGGAGCTCATTGATCTCCATATCTTTCTCGCGAATTAAAGCCGAGACATCGGGATGCTCCGCAATTGTGGGATTTGCGGGCTTTATACCCCCTGACATTCGGGAGTGGCTGGACCGTCTTGCCTGGAGCAGCCGGCGCTCAAGGGTAGAGATATAACGGTTTTTATCACCGAGATCAGCCTGCAGCGCAGTGACCTGGCGCTGCAAGCTGGCTTTACCATCGCCAAATTCACCAATATCATATTCGTCCTCGTTGCTGTTGACAGATGCGAACGAGACGGGCCGAGTCGATGAATGGCCAGCACCCAACGTAGATTGGCTTGTGGAAGAACGTAGTGACCGCGTACCCGAATCCGTTGCAGACATGCGGGAGAGACGTCCAAATGCAGAGAGGCTGTTATGGTAGTTTACACCGGTGGACTTGGAGCTCAAAATCAGACGATTGAGATGCTCAATCCGCTCTTTGAGCGCAGTCCGAGCCAACTGCATTTCCAGCACCTGTTCCTCGTGTCGGGCCTGTGCTTCCTTTTCATACTGCTGTTCGTCCCATTTAAGTTCTTTCTCCGCCTGGGATTTGGCCTGGATGTCAAGCTGACTGCGAAGAGCCTGGATCTCCATGCGATAACGCTCAAGAAGTACCCGACTTCCAGAATCACCGCCGCCACCGCTGTAAGCCTCCTCGGCCTTTTTGGCATGACTGACAATATTGTTCTTCGCCCGCGCAGCGAATTTCATGGTGTTCAGAGTTTCCCCGGTGTGCGAATTGACCGCGCTTGTGAGTTGAATGGTGCACAGAATACTCACAAGCGAGCCACCGGACAAAGCTGGTTGCAGGAGCCTGGTCAACTTGCTGTCTCGGTAAGGCAAATGTCTCCCATCCCGGTCCGTAGGGTTTCCTTGTTTATCTTTGTTTTCCGAGAGCCGAGAGATGATGGTGCCCAAAGTGAGCAGACTTTTGTTGATATGAGCACCTTCCGTGCGGCGTTCCTTATCATCAGCGGCACGCTCAGAGCCAGCTAGATCAATCAGACTCAACGTTGATACCCGCACACCACCCGGGGCGATCCCCGAGCGCTTATCTTGGGCGCTGCCAGAGGGCACTCGCTCTCGACTCTCGACCACGATTTGAACCACCGCGTGACTTCGAGAACTCCGTGCATTGAACTGCGTGCTGCTCGTTCGTCGTGCATGGTCGCCTCGAGCGATCACACGGAGCAGTTGCGTTGGACTCTGGACAATCTCTTCCTTGAGTGGCGTTGCATACACTCCTCGTTTGCTGTCCTCTCTCAATTTTATTTCTTCTTGCTGAGCTCCCGCGGGGGCGTTAGCAGCGGAGGCGGAAAGGAGGTCGTTAATCTTCTCGTTGTAGATTTCCAGATAGCTGACCCGCAGCAAGAATTCCCGATGTGGCGTCTCTCTGATGAAGGAAAAGATGTCGGTGATTGCGAGCGGGATGACACCAGGGGAAGTTGCTGTTCCCTGCATAGAGAAAGTCTTTCCGGTTCCCGTCATGCCATATGCAAAGACCGTTCCATGGTAACCCTCCATGACGCGCCGGACAAGACGTTTGGCAGCCGAATCATAAACTTTGGCGTTGTTTTCTTGCGGATTAAAGACATTATCTACTCAACGGTTAGTTACGACGGGCTGGGCAAGTGGGCTAATGGACACTTTATCCTCACCATAAAAGTAATCGCCTCCTTCTTTCCCACGGTATGAGATGAGGCTTTGCCGGCTATCAATGGACCATTCACCATGATTTCGGGGAGTCTCTCCTCCACTGTTGTTGTCGGGACGAACGCGCACGCTGACCAGTACATTGCCCTTCATTTCTTTTGGCTTAGAGATTGATTTTCCCATCGGATCATCCGCATCCTCAAAGGTGGTCGCACTCGTTGAGCAAGATCCCTGGGCGGACGAACTTCTACTGTGAGTTGGAGACGCCTCTGGATCTCGCGCATCTCCGCTTGATATGAATTTCACCTCTCCACTGCCGTTAAGTAGTGATGGAGTTTTCGAGCTCCGATAGCTGCTCGTGGTTCCTGTACTCAATCGCGAGCTTCTTTGGGGTCGCACACTGAAAGTAGCACCTTGGATCCCAGAGAGCGATGATGCTGTGGATGGACGGCTACTGGCCTTTGGCGGTTGAGGAAATGAGGCGATGCTAATTGTTCGGCGCAAAGATTTGTCAGGGCTACCAGGAGTGCGCCCACCGGAAGTTGACCGGGCCGTGTTGAAGTTGGAAGTTGAGTTTGAAGTGGATAGAGGTGATTTTAGTGTTGGCTTAGGGCTGGATGGGGTGCGCAGTTTGGAGGTCTGGTAGGGGGATGCGGCCTGCGGCATGTCGGAACCCGTAGACATTCTGGATTTAGGGTTGGGGAGAGGGGGTAATGATCCAGCAGGAGAGTTGGGAACTGGCCGTGATAGCTGCGGGGGCTGTGGTAATGTTGACATTGAGGCCATGGCGACTTAATGTCTCTTAACGAGATAGGGATGGGTTTAACAAGAATGATTGAACACGATGGCCATGCGGGCAGATTGAGAGCCTGTACCAATTTTCAGAAGTTAGCAAAACGTATGCGACATGAGCATTGAGCCCTTGACTGGGACCATGAAATAAAACGGGTGATTCCATCGCAATTTTCGCCAGTCTTGGAGATCAAAATGTACTTGGATAATCACGGGATGTTCTGATGTTATGATTTAGGTCTCGGGTGCTCACAGATTCAAACGCGCGATGTTGCAATGATGGGAAGAAGATGAAAATTAAAAAAAAAGAGTTAAAAAGAAATGCAGAGATGCAGAGATGTAGAGACGTAGAAACGTAGAAGCGTAGAAGCGTAGAGACGTAAAGAGAGACGAAAAGACGTGAAGATGTAAAGACGAAGAGACGAGAGAAAAAGGCGTATCGAGTGATCCCCGCAGAAAGTTGGGGCCACTACATTTTATAGATGTTACATTAACTATACAACATAGGATGATCTTTCTTGCGTTAAAACGTATTTCTTGTAAATTTACTGTATAGTTTCTTGTATAGATTGTTTAGAATTCTCTCTTTTCCTCTTCTCTCTCCTCTATGAATCCCCCTAGACATGCTAGAATGCCCTAGCAAATCCCCTTCTCCCATCTACCCTTTAAAGAACCATAATATGAAATAAGATAAGGGAAATGTCAAACAATCACACCTTTTTACAAGTATATAAACCGTAGGGGAAATTCCCTGGGAAGCTCGGGGCATCTCAGATTCAATGATAGGCTTGACAAGTGGAGGTTTCAGCTTCAGAGTCGAGGGAAAAGGGGGGGGCGAATGAGATGCCCATGTCTGCGCTTCTTTTTTAGGTGGACCCCAAGCTCATTTCGAATTAAAGGTAGGATCTGGAGATCAGGGGCCCTGTTGCCTGTTGCCCTTGAGGGCTGAAGGAGCATCATTCCAGGTCTCTCCCTATAAAGGTGAAGCTTGGGATGAACTCATGTTCGGAAGTCCAAAACAAAAAAAAAGATACCGGCCATTCGAATTGAGCAAAGATTGACGACTAAACCGAAATTTAAAATTAATCCGGCGTTGATCCTCATTTACGTCCCGTTGTCCCGTCCCGTGACCTGACTACATCTACATCTACAACGTGCGGAGTATGTGGTATACACATCGATACAACATATACTTACAACCTATATTTACAACATCCGCGACTTATGCAACATCCAGAAAGTAAAGAGTCTACACAGTATCTCTTTGGTATTTGGAAAAACTCGATTTCTTCCTCCAAAATCTTAAACTGGAAGGAATATACACCTAGGGCATGCAAGGGAGCCTATACTCGGAGGACAGGCTCTTGTAACTTGTGTTATGGCTTGTAACCTTAACTTCACTAAACAGTGCGAACCATAACAACATGACAGGTTGGCGATCGCGGGGGAAATCTATAGCGTTTTTTTGACTGGATGAGTCTCTCTCCACTTGCACTAAGCTGTTGTTGTTGACTGGATGACATTTCAATAGTTGCTGCAGATGCCAATGCCATGCATCTCTAGTGTCTCGGCTGAGGTGGCAACCACTTATAATACTATGCTCAGAGTAGATTTGTTTTTCTATGTTCCAAATTGTAGATTTACTACAGTTTGGTATTTTCATCGCATCATTATTTCTTCCCGAAATCCAGTTGTCGGGCAGCACTCTTGAACATGCCCTCATCCAACTCACCACCACGGCGGGTTAAATCATCTCCCATCTTTTTTGTCCCACCAGATTTCCGTGGGAGATTGTCATTCTTGGTTGGACGGGGCTCAATTGTCCACCAGTTGTGTCGCAAGCACTGGGCAGCCGTACTGCGCTTGCGTGGATCGAGCGCACACATCGACATCAGCAGATCGCCACCCACTGGACCTGCAGTGGGGAACTGTCGCATGAAGAAATCACGCCCTTGCAACGGCACCAAATTGGCCTTGTCGGTGGCAATGTAGTAAGGCAGCTTGCTGACCCCGGGCCAATTCTCCTCTGTTGGTGTGCCAAATGCTTCGCAAATTTTGGAGGTTTGGTCCAGGTCAGTGTTGCCCGCCACGAATGGAACCCGTATCAGGAGCTCGGCAAAGACCATCCCCATGGACCAAACATCCACTGCCCCGGAATATTGTCGCGCACCGTAGAGAAGCTCGGGCGGTCGATACCACCGAGTGATGACCTGATGGGTCATGTTGAACAAGGGATCGGCAAACGATCTGGCCAGACCGAAATCGGCCAATTTGACCTCCCCGTCTGCCGCGATCAACAAGTTGTTAGGCTTGATGTCCCGGTGGAGAACAAAGTTCGCATGACACCACCATATACCCCGGGCAAGCATCCCCATCCAAGCTTTGATATCGGCCACACCATAGTGAATATCACTATCTTTGATGAGCATCTCAAGATCTCCACCGGGAAGAAACTCGAGAACCAAGCTTAGATTTTGGTCCTTGGAGGAGAAGACATCGTGAAGGGCTATGACGTTGGGATGCTTCAGCTCTTGAAGGTACTTCACTTCACGAACTGCATCCATAGCAAGTCCATCCTTGTATTCAGCATTGACTTTGATCTTCTTGATCGCGACGAGGGATGATGGATCGTGTCGGAGGTGGCCAACATATACCACAGCATATGTACCTTCTCCTACTTTCTTGTCTAGTTCTGTGTTAGCAGAATGCTCCCCGAGAGAAAAAAGTGACTTCACATGGTTAAATACCTTTGACGTATCGTTCCCGGACTTCAATATTCAGCTGTTCGGTGAGTTCGCGATCTCCATTCTGTATAGGATTCAACACAGCTGGAGCTGCGGACCCAGTAAGTGACGGATGTGAAGTAGTGGCTCTCAGTCTGATTGCTGTATTTGGGGAATGCACAGTCATGGACGGCGAACGAGAGCCAAAGGGTGAGAGTGCCATATTTAGATCGGTTTGGAGAAAAAGGTCAACCTCTAGAGAGTGACAAGAAATTGAAAAAAAAGGCCACAGAAAACTCAGTGGCCACTATGAGTATTAAGAGATCATTGTTAGCAAAATTTCTAGAGGTGAACGAAGCAGTGCCGAAATATGAGAGCCGATGTCATTTCCCCCCAAGATAGGCTGGCCCGGAGTATTGTTGATCCTGGACTTTGTTGGCGACTCCCGAAATTTCTCCAAGTCAGTCACCAGCGACCTCCCCCCAGCCAATTCCTCGGCAACTGCTGGAACCCTTTCAATTACAAAAGCATCGCTCAGCATTTCCCCTTATAGATACACTTAAGAAACCAATTCTTTGGGGGAAAAATCGCACGAGAGTTACTAGCAAAGTCGGGGCATGCGGCATCCTTCCCGCAACACCTTCACGATGAGCGTCATGGCAATGCGCAATCCACCGCTGGGCAGTTTGACAGCGCGCCTACTCAAGCCAGTTTCAGTTTCCAAACAATACATTCGATCACTCCACAAGAACGCGCCACCACCCGTGCCATCTCCGACCCCTTTCGTTCCTGACGTCCCAACCTTCCTCACGCTGATTGGCCGTGAATTATCCAAGCAAGCGAGCAAAATCCCCTCATGGGAGGATCTCTTCACCTTAAACTCTAACCAGCTTCGCCAAGCCGGCATTGAGCCAGCCCGCCAGCGACGGTACTTGATCCGGAAGCGCGAGAAGTTCAGAAACGGACTGTATGGCCCCGGAGGTGACCTAGAGACTGTTGTCGATGGTGTTGCACAATTGCGGGTCGTTGAAGTGCCTATTAATGCCAGAGGCCTGACACATGGAGGCACACAAGCGGCCGTTCAAACCTCTTCTGCTACACTGTCACCCGGTATGGTGAAAGCCATTGTCAACCTGGCACCTGATGCCACTACTTATCAGTATGGAAAAAAACAACCGATCAAGAAATTTGCGCACATGAAGATTCACCGTGGCTGTCAGCCCATGGGCCCGTTCCTCCAGCCTTTGAAAGGTTCCAATGGTACTGCTGCTACTATTTCGGTCCAGGAGGGCATGTGGGAGGACAAGCGGGGACGGAAGGTTGATGGTGGTGAACGACGACGCCGGGAGGTCCAGAATAAGAAGAGGCTGGATGAGAGAAAGAAGGCGTGAATGTGAACGGTGAAATACCACTTTACGCATCTTGCTTATTTCTTGTTGAGCCTGGATGTTTAGATTCGAACTGTACTATACTATTGCTATGCTATAGCCATCATGATTTCTTTTTTTTATCGTTTCAAAGGTGTTTTAATCTGTAATTAAAATAGTATGATTGAGCTATGTAAACAAAACATTTAGAGAAACACGCGACTCAGAAGTCGCCAGAAGTGGATATTCATACAGCAAAATCGTGTCAAAGTGAAGAAAGAAAGAAATCCATGATGCGGGAGCAGTTAAATTCACTTGGTGAATTTGGCTCGGTTTCAGCCTGAACCTTTGCTGCATCAATGCAGGGCATTAAAATGTGGTCGAAATTTGTATGGGAATCTTTTCGAACACAATACTCCGATTATGCCTTGACTCCACGTTTCTCGTACCGAACAAAAGATGTACCCAGCGGCTTGGAGAAGAGGGACTAAAGTATGGTCAGCCAAATGCCAAGCTGACCGCAACAGAGCATCACTTACCGAGTAATCCGTCTCGGGGAAGGGTGCATCAGCACTAGGCTTGGAGAACTTCAGGTGTCTCACCAGCGCAGCCAGGATTGTGATCAACTGCACATAGGCAAACTGCTCGCCAATGCAGCGATGGCGACCAGCACCGAAAGGCAGATAAGGACTGTTGGTGCCCTTGGTCACGAGTCCATAACCATAATCAATCTGCTCCTCATCTTCATCCTTGGTAGTCACAGTTCCAGACTCATCCCAGCGGTGGGGATTCCACTTCAGAG